AAGTTGGGCCTCCATCTTGCTGCCGTAAACTATGTCGTCGCAAAGGGTGACACCGAGGAACGCGACCTTCTCAGTGTCACGTTGTGCGGCACCTCCGCAAAGGACTATTTGTCTTCGGATCCTTCGTCCATACAGCTGCGGCCCTGCCATCCTTGGCATCATCCGGAGGCACCGGTGCCTGCGACACTTCCAACTGGCGCTGCTGCCCGGATCCCCTTCATCTCCTCGGTTTCTGCAACGCAGCTAACCGAGCTGCCGAAGGACCACTGGCAACGGTGGCAACGGAGCCCCGTGAGGTTTGCAGACGCTCTCTGCCTTGCGCGCGACCTTACGAAATCCAAAGGATCCGGGGGGGTTCGAGTGCTGGAGATGGGTGCACATCCAGTCCTTGCGGCCGCCATCAAGGCCACGTTCTCAGAGCTCCGCTATGCTTGCTCCATGCGTCGTGGAGAGCGGGCGGCTTCGTTCCTTCGGCAGCAGCGTGCTGGTCTGGGGGTGGGCTTCCGCAGGCAGCTCCAGCAGGTGCTCCAGGGTTTCATCTTTGGAGGTCGGCAGCTGTGCCACACCACAAGCTTCGCAGCCCAGGGCATTGCCTCGCAGCAGCTGGTGATGCTTGCAGAGGCCTTGCGGCCCTTCTTCCCGGGCCTCGCAGCTCACGACCTCTACCGCTTCAGCAACATAGATGGTCTCTTGGACTGGGGTGCGGATGAGATGTCGGAGAGCTTCAGTCCACCAAAGACAGTGAAGGTGCAGGAGCTTCACTTTGAGATCTTGGCATGTGCGCTTCGCTTCCCCGGGGCTGTGGACACACCTGGCGCTTTCTGGAGCATGCTGCTGAAGGATGATCAGGATGCCGCCTTTGCCGCAGCCCCCAAGGAGGGACCCAAGGCAGCCTTCCTTCAGTACAAGTTTGATCATCGCACCGCCCTGACGGCGGCAGGGGCTGCTGGAGTCGAAGGTGCCGAGGCTGCTGCCATGGATCCGCAGCACTCCTTCGCGTTGCATTTGGCGGCGGAGATGTGGCATGACTCCGCCGAGGCTGCGGAAGCTGCCAAGGCTGAGCCGGAGCGCGTGGGAGTCTACCTCGGTGCCTGGCAGCCCGTCGTGTCTGACACCCGGGCGTCTGCCTATGCGGCGATCGGCTCGTCCCTCAGTGC